ATAAGTTACACTGTCCAACAGAAGTAAAAAGTCCTGCCTTTCTCCCAAGGAGCAGCTGGTGGATTTAAATTGTTAACTGTGCAGTTAGTAACTAACTCAATGCAAAACCAGTAAACATCAGGGCTCTTTATTCAGTCTCATAGTGACCATAAAACTAACAGAAAGAAACACTGCCTGGTCATGCACCATCCTCAAATGCACTGCTACATTTGAACCCACAACTGTAGCCAGTTAAAACAGCTTGTTGAGAATCTTATTATTAACTGCCATACATTATTTGCAATTGATTACTTTTTAGTGATCAGTAGCCTTTATTAGATGCAAGATCCATGAAGGCAAAGACTGAAGGAGATGCACTACAAGCACGGTAGCCAGTCATAATGGACAACAAATATTTGTAACTACCAAATAAATGAATCTTTAGTAACAATGGACCAAATTCTACTCTGTGAATTTCAACTCTTGGATTATGTAAAATGAATGATACCTACCATGCACATATCTGATCTCCAACATACAGATCTATTTCCTCATTTACTCATACCATTCAATGACTCTGCCTCACAGTATTGTCTTTACCCCAACATTAGTAAATCACTTTTGAGTGCAAAAACTACACCATACTTCCATTTACAGTTGTGAGGCGTAAGTAACAACACACAACTTTCCCTGTGTTACATTTTACAAAGCGTGGAGCGCCAATACTGAGTGGAGTGGGAGAAATGGGTAGCTTTCCTTAGGCCTTGCCCATAAATGCTTCCAAGCTCAAAGAGCAGTAACAATTGTTACTATCCAAGTTAAACTCTTGGCACCTGTGGTTTAAAATTCCCCAAGTATTCTTTATTACTAATAATCTAATTATTCAGACTCATCACTTTAATAAACATTTGGAATAGAAAATTCTAACCTTTTTTTATAACTAGCATTCTATAATATCTTAGTGTTCATCAACCCCTTGAGTGCCTAGCTCCTTTTCACTAATACACACACACACACACAGAGTTTCAACTGAACTTCTTTCAACTTTTGTGCATGCCAACTTAAGTTGACATTTCCCTAGTCTACCACATTTTGTGGCCTTTCTTATTTCCACTTTGGTTTACCGTATTCAGTGGTTCCAAATTAAGAGATGTGAGTACCCTGGGCAGACTAAGGGGCCTATTGCTTGAATTCATCCAAGAATACTACAAAACAGTCCGTTCTACTTTAGTTCCCACTCCCTACCAATTATCTGATTCGTCTCTGCTGATATGGGAGACACAAATGCAGAAAAGGCCGAAGGGCACAAAAGTGTGTAACAGCTGCATATGAGGTTTATAGGGAAAACCCATTGGTCATTTGAAGCAATGTGAGGCAAAGGTAAGAAAATTCTGCAAAAAGCAGAATAAAGAGTCAGAAAACTAAAAAACCAATGCCTTTCCAGTCTTTATACTACTTAACATCAACATGGAATATCACATTTCAGTGTCAGTAAAGACACTTCACTCCCTCCATATCAAGTTTCCCCAGTTGTTTCAAAGTTAAACCACTGCCCTGTCTTAAAGATCTTATTCCACTTAAAACAGCTTTATATTAGCTGACAAGGTCAACCTTTTCTTGATTTTAGCATCAGACAACCCACCAAGGTCAAAAGTATCTGTACATAATTCTGAAGCTATAGGAAATATCTTCCCCTAAAGAAAATCTCATAGGGGGAAATAAGGAGAAAGTTAAAATAGTAAATATATAGTGGTGTATTTTTTTTCCATCGAAAACACTCTAGTTCTAAAGATGTCTTTATTTTAGTGTCAGTAACTTTTCATGTTTACCTACTATGGTTTCTATACTTAATGAGTAGATATTTTCACTTTTCAAAAAATGCATAATTGTGAAATTATAAGTTTCAAGGAAATTTATAAGGTTATCTAAGTCTTCAAACATATGGAGTCAAGTCTCTTAAACCACAGTGAGAATCATTTCCTTCTACCTTACATCCAATCTAGAGGAATACATTATGCATAAATACAAATGCATAAGATTGTCTGGTTCCCAAAATGTTCTGCTTCTAAAAGGCCTTAATATTATTTTAACTAAGATGGTACAAAGACTAAATTACCTTGAGTGAATTCAGCAAAACAAGTTTGAAGGAAACCAGGAGCACCATAAACAGTAACTTTCAAATGAGGAGAATAACTTTTCTGTCTAACAGTATGGTTTAAATAAAGTTTTACCTTTCAGTGTTAATGACACTTTTAGAAATATCTGTGAGAGAGCAAGAGACAGCGGCCCTAATCAAATAGGCTTAACCTTATACAGCTTTATCCGGAATGAACACACACACACACACACACACACACGTAAATAGTATCAACGTGATCCAGAAACTGGGAAATCTGTGCTAGCGTTGCACTTTGAATCTAACCCCCAAAACTCAAATCTTTACAAGGATGATGCTAGACTAGCTGATCGTGAATGTTCTTTTCAGGTATAATTCTACCTTTATCATTCCTACCTCTTTCATTATATCTTCCAGTGATTTCATTGATTCACCAAACACTTTATTATGCACCTACTGTGCCCCTGGCAAAGACACTGTCTTCTCCACTAGATTTTACGTTTTAATTGTCCTATTGGTATATTAGAAAATGAGCACTTAGAAGAGCTTAGACTTAACAGTAAAAATAAATAATTCAATTTATGTAGCTTGTTTGGCTTAGAGTTCAATAGATCCAAACGCTTGGATCTATTAGTTAGTATGGAACTTTAAACATTTGATACCGCCCATACAAGACTGGTATTAAGATATCTTAGCTAGTAAGGCTATATATCAGACCTGTAGCTGACATATCCGTGTTAACTAAAACCAATGAATAACATACTAAGTATCTTTCATAGGAAGTAAAAGGAGGCCCACACAAACCAAAAAAAGTATGATAAAAAGCAGTTTGGGGAGAAGCAGATCTCAGTCTAATCTCCAACATGAACACATGGCTGAGTAACAGCAGCTTGCTATTTGATGATCCATTCTTGTCAACTTTTAATCCTCCGGACTGAGGCTAAGCATGAGACATGTTTATTTTTAAGCATATGTTGGCTTTTTTATTTTCACTTTTCTTTGTGCAATTATATAGTTCTTAAGAATAAGAAACACATGCATGACCCACTACTAGCTACCCTTTCCTTCCCCCAGATGGCCCAGCCGACAACACACATCTCAATCAAATCGTAGTACAGCTAAATAAATAATAATGCAAGGTAGAAAATGCTCCTATCATTGCCAAAATTTCACATACTCAATCTGATGCTTCCCATTAAGTAAAAGTAAATAAAACTTGGACTTCCCATGATTAGTAAAGGAAGTGCTATTTACTCGGCAGGTGGCTCTGCACAAGTGTATTCACTTACTCTTTATCAAGAATCCTGTTGATGAGAATATTCCAAATAGGGTGGTAATCTACAATAAGAACAATCCACTCTCCTTCACAAAATGATTCCAGCAGTTCCCCAGGAGTGTATTCGAAGGCAAATGCACTGTTGAGGTGACCCTCTAAATCACTCAGCTTAGAATCTTTGGGTCTCAGTCACCTCGGCAACCCATTCACCTGGATGATGAAATCTAGGCCCAGCAGAGTAAGGGGCCCAACTAAAGTCATCCCTGTTGAGTGGCGGAAAAAAGACCAAACCAACCAATGACACTATACAACAGTTGTGGGGCTGACGCCGGACTGGGCAGTGTTTCCTCCGTGGGGGCGCTATGCGTGGGAGCCCACGGCAGGGCACCTACCCCAGCATACCATGCTGCTAGTGCCCGGTGAAGCTGAGCGGTTGATTTTAGCTCCTCGGGAGCCTACTGTACACTAACCTCCTAGGACTTTCACTTAAAATTACCTTAAGACACTGCTGTTCCACAAACGGCCTAGAGCCCCCACAGAATAATGTGCCATTTGCTACGTAATTTTTTTTTAAGCTATTGATCCTGTCGCCTACGGCCCTGGCTTCAGTGCTTATAAAAGCTCCCAGACGCAAAGCGCGGAGAAAAGGTTCCCGGGGATCCCGGCCACGGTGCCCGTCCCCTCGGCGAAGGGGAACCGCGAGCCGTGCGGAGAGTTCAATCGCGCCGTGTCGGTGCCCGCGCCCCGGCTCGCCGGGTCCGAACGCCCGCCCGGCCGTTAACGGACAGGGCAGCGGGCCGCCCCTCCCCCACCGCGGCCTGAGTCGAGCGGCGCGGGCCCGGCGGCCAAGGCACCCCGCGCGAACAATAAAGGGGGTCCCCGGGCCTCTGCAAGCGCCGCGGGCCTTTGGGAGCGCCGTTGGGCCGTAGGCCGCGGGAGAGGACCCCGCGGGAAGGGAGAGGGGAGAAGGCGAGCGAGAGGCTGCGAGAGAAGGCGGATGGCCAGGCGCTCCGGAGGCCGCCGTCCCCTGGGCCGTACCTGGCTCCAGGTGATGAACTCGTTGGTGTGGGTTTCCTCCACCAGAGTCCACAGCTTGCTGAGGAAGGCCGGCACGTTCGAACTCTGCTTCATTGTTACCCAGGCGCGGGGATTCCAAATTCGATAACCGAACGAGGTGGGAGTCGCGGCGGTGGCAGCTGCGCCCGGAGAAGGTCCACGACGCAGGCGCAGCAGCTCCCGGGCCCCGCCCCCTAGGCCCCACCCCCTGGGCCCCGCCAGGCGCGCGGCGAGGCTGGGAGGCCCGGCGTCCACACGTGACGGACAGTCTCCGCGCTGGGCCCGCGCGCACAGCTGCTGCGTCGCTCCCTCTCCCGACCAATTCCCGGGGCCGACCACTTCCACAGAGACAGGCGATTGGATGCTGCGCACGGAAAGGGGTGGGCGCATAAGGGGGCGCTGCCTGCTCATTCGCCTATTATACTGGGCCCTAGGTGTAGCGGTCCTTACGCTTGGGGTGTCCTCCTTTCACGTGGGATCTGCGTTCGGTGCCTGTGTGGTGGTTGTGGATACACACAGCCGTAGGGACCTTGAGCATTAAGTTGGACAGACAAAGGTGCTTGGCACTACCCTCAAGGTAGGAGTGGGTATAGTGAGTCACGTGGAGGAAACAAAAGCAGTTTCAAGTATATTGTAGTAGGCCCCACGTTGAGACTGTCATAAAAATCACGAAACTTGCTTGTTCTCACCCTTAGTTTGTCATTAAGAGATGCTTAATCAAAAAGATACATTTAAGTAATAACCCACTCTATTAACCATATTATTGCGAGCGAGGACCTCTAAAATAGACACACAGTCCCAGTCCCCCTCTCAGGGGGCTTAACAACAGAAAACACCGGGGAAGGGAGACAGCGGTCAGTATAAGGTATGAAAATAATAATTTTTAATTTATCAGGGATCACGAGGTGGGGGGGGGGGAGGGAAAACAGGAGCTGATACCAAGGGCTCAAATAGAAAGTAAATGTTTAGAAAATAATGATGGCAACATAGGTACAAATATGCTTGATACAATTGATGTGTGGATTGTTAATAAGAGCTGTAAGAGCCCCCAGTAAAATGATCTTTGATTAAAAAAAGGGCACATGGCTTGCCTTTGAGCACTCACTATATGCCCAGTGCTTAAAACAAAAGGTGCATTCAAACTGCTGTAGTCAATTAAAATAATGATTCCGACATAGGTTTCATAGGTGTGGCCTTGTTTTTCTAAAAGAGTTTGCCATAGTGGGAGGAAAAATTCGACAAGGAGTGAGCACATTTGAGTTTAGACCCAGCTTTGTATTGGGTTACTAACAGCAAAGAACGTATCTAATCCACCAGGTGATCTGTGGGTGAAAGATGAGTCTATGCCTCAGAATCCCAAAGGGGCCATTCTCCTGTGTCCAATATAGTCACTCTGAGGCAGAAACGACCTGACAGTAGTGGTTTGGGTGGTTGTGCCAGTCTTCCTCATTCCTTCATCGACAATAAGAAGAGTTCTCTTCTCAACCATAAATGAGTAGCTTTAATAGCATTGTAGATGTGAAAATGCTTTGAAAATAAAAAATATTCCTGAACATTAAACTTCCAAGCCACTCATTGATGAAAGTAGGTGACATTTGCCCCTCAGACACTACACCCTGACCTTTTGAGCTGTTGCCCTTAGGAGATAAGCTATTCTCATTCCATTCCCTAGATCTTTACTCCTCTGTTGTCTATCTTTTAATTATCCATATATGTTTGTACTTCAAGACTTAAGGTCTCCATCTTTCAGGAGGTCTTTTCCTACCACCTTAACTCCTAACTTTTAGCTCAAATTTTTCTACTGTCTGTTTTATACCATAAAATTTAGTTCTTATTTTGTGTCAGTTTAATATATTTGTTTCCATCTATCAAAGAGAGTTGTGGTTAGATACAAGCAGAAACTTCTTCGTAGAACTTTCAAACTATGAGTTTCTTATAGTGAGATGCTGCCTGTGGACTCCAAAATTTAAATGTTGGAATATTTCCATGGGTCATTTTCAGCCTTCAGAATAACATTAGAAAGACCCAGGCCTTTATCTAGGAAAGAGAAAAATGTATTTGTGGAGCAGTTTGGTGTTTCAAAGTTGCAGATTTAGAATGCTACAAATTTTATTCAATCATTATGTAAAATTAGTTGGAATCAGAAGTCACATGTAATTGATTTAAAGATTACTTTTCCGGATTGGATGACCAAAATCAAAGATGAACTGTTTCAAGGTGTCCACCTGTAGTAGTTACATAATTTCATGTCAACTTGATAAATAAGTATAGGGATAGAGTTTAGACTGTCAATCAGGTCACAGCCTGATGATACCTCCTCGTGGACATGGCATTCTCATGAGAATTCTGGGAACTTCTCTTTCTCCCTGAAGGTGGGCCATACACACACTCTCTCTCTGTTCACCTTCCTGTGGAGGAGACACTCGAGAGCTGGAGGAGCTATGTGGAGACCCGAGCCAGCACTGCAATGCTTCTACTGCCACTGGATCCACAAGACTATTCACCCACCAGTCTGTGATCTTCTTGCATTCGGCATCATTGCAGGTACTGTTTGAATCTGAAGAGGAATTTAAGGATTAATATAAGACATATAGGTTAATATTGGACTTATGGACTTGATCTGGATTGGGCTAAAACTTTTTAAATGTACAATTGCTTTTGGATATAAAGCTCTCTCTTACACATGAGTGTCATTGGATTTGTTTCACTAGTCAACCTGGACTAGCGCACCACCTATATTTCTACGTGGAAAAATGGGAATTTTCTTCATTCTGGAATAACCCAGGTAAATCACATCACTAAGCCCTAGGTCCCTGTATATGCAGTCGAGTGTCGAAGATTCTGACTCAGAGTGATCACATGTGACAGCAGCAGCACCTCAGAGTTTTCTGGGTGTAATCTTTATGGAGCTGAGTGCCAAGGCTTTCTCTTGCAGAGCCATTGGGTGACTTTGAACCACGAGCCTTTAAGTTACTAGGCGAGCACGTCACCATTTGGGCCACAAAACAAAACTCCAAATTCACTGCCATCACGTAGACTCACAGAGGCCACCTATAGAACGGGGTAGAACAGGCCCTGTGAGTTTCTGAGACTGTAACTGTTTCTAGGAGAAGAAGGCCCCTTGCACTTAGTAGGCCAGCGTATAACCACCACAACATCAGGGTTCTCTGGGCCCCTTTTTCCTTATATATAAATTGCACATTAAAATGCCTACTGTACATCTTCTAGTCTATCTTCACTATCTTTACAGATATCTTCCTTAAGCACAAATCTGAGTCACTTCCAACTTTAAATCCTCCACTGGCTGCACATAATTTTCACGATAAATACAAACCCTTAGTATGGCATGTTGTTGTTGTTAGATGTCTTGGTGTAGGTTCTGCCTCATAACCTATGTACAGCAGAATGAAACACTGCCCTGTCTTGTGCCATCCTTACAATTGTTCTTAGGTTTGAGCCTATCCATGCAGCTACAATGTCAATTCATCTCCTCAAATGTCTTCCACTTTTGAATACCACTTTTTTTATCAATATGTATGTGTGACTTTTTTAAAAGTTTCTTTTCATTCTGGTGAAAATACATATACCACAGCATTCTTCAATATATCAACTTTCACATTTACAATTTAATGACATTGACTACACTTTTCAAGTGTGTCACCATCATTGTCCTTTTCCAAAAGTTTACTAACATTAACATGACCTCTGTCACTTCCCCAAAACTTCGCTTTCCCCTCCCCTAGAAACCATAAATGATCTTTGGTTTCTGCACATTGATTTATGTCAGATAAATGAGATCAGACATATTTGCTTTTTCAAAGTTTATCCGTCGGTGGGATGCATCAGAACTTCATTTCTCTTGGTGGCTGTATAATATTCCTTGTATGTATACATCACTTTTGGCTTATCCAGGCATCTGTTGGTAGTAATTTCAGTCATTTATACCCTTTGCCTGCTGTGCTGCTGTGCACAGTGGTGTACAGATTTCTGTTTGCATCCCTGCATTCACTTCTTTTGGGGTCATGAGTATACCTAGGATTAGGTTGCTGGGTCATAAGGTAATTCTATGGTCAATTTTTTTAGGAAGCACCAACTTGTTTTTGTTTTCAACTTTTAAATTGTGGTTTAAGTGAAAGTTTATGGAGCAAATTAGTTTTCCTTTTGATAGTTTATATACATTTTGTTTAGTGACATTTTGCTTGTTAGATGAAATCCCCTCAATGTAACAGCACTGCCTCTCTGGGCTCCCCATTTCCGTTCATCCTTCTGTCTTTTCCTTTCCTGCCTCATGAGCTTTGTTTCTGGGCAAACACTGCCCTTTTGGTCTGGAATTGTCGATTGTTCAGAGGTAAACTTTCCTCGCAAGTGTTATTATTCACATTATAGGCCTACTGTTTAGCTGAATGCTAATCTCCAGGGTAGGCTCAGTTCCTGAAGTTCAGTTCCTGAGGCTCAGTTCCTGAAGTGAAGGTTGTCTAAGAACTTCCATCAGAACTTCCACCAATCTCCATCAATCCCAGAACTTCCACCAATCTCCATCAGATCAGAAAGGCTGGTCTTTTTTATGATTTTGATTTTTTTCCTCTATATTTGCTCCCATTCGGTCCAGAACCTTCTGTGTTATCTATCAAAGTGGTCAGTAGCCAAGAACCATCTACTGTATATACTCATGTAGAAGCCAAGTTTTCCAGCACATTTTTAATGCAGTTTTTGTAAAAATAGGTGCCTCGGCTGATATTAGAGTTGGCTTATACAACTATGTATGGTAGTTCTCCTGGTCTCAAGGTAATGGAGGCTGTGAAAAGTGAAAATGATAGCACTGCAGGCCTGAGATATCCAACCTCTCACTCCCAGCTGGTTCCTGTGGACACCTCTCTGAACCACCTGGATATGTGCATTTGCGATCCCTCTGCTGGCACAGCTTCCTCCAGGGCCAGTCTAATGCCCAGAAAGGGCTGACCTTTGGTATACCATGGATTCAACTCTCAGGCTTTGCCCTGTGGTCTCCCATAAGGTTTTAATGTAATACTCATAGGCCTTGCGGGATTTGGTTACTGATTGTGTGGGGGCTACCTGCATGTAATATAGAGTTCAGACAGCATCCAAATTGCATAACCTACTTTATAGAAATATGGTAGATATCAAGTA